TCAGCAGGGAAGTGTCCTCCCGAGCAGCTCGGTCCCTGCCGCTTCAGACCGAAACTGTGGCTCTGAACCCCCAATCCCTCCGTCACCACCAGTAGATGTGTCTCAAAAGAAGATGTGAGCCAAGGGCCCGGCACCTCACTCCAGGGCTTGCCCTCTGACTACGCCACGCCCTTATGGGCGCCTTGAGTGCCCAGGCCTGACCTGAGGCTCTGCAGAAGTTATGCGCCTACGGCCCGACCCAGGTCAGAAAAGGTTCTACCCCACGCTTAAGCCCCGCCCCCAGGCCCTCGAGAGGGCCCCTGTGCCCGCCCAGCAGAGACCTCCGCTCCGCCCATGCCGAGGCCCAGCTCCAGGCCAACGCCTGTAATAGTGCACCCAGCTCCGCCCCAGCGAAGGCCCCGCCCCTCACCGGCAGAAGTTGTGCGCGCCCAGCCCCCAGCGGCCGTGGGGGTCGCTGGCGCTGCTGTAGCTGTGCTGCTGCGTCTGGTCCCAGTAGAGGCACGGGCGGCCAGCCCCGCGCGGGCCCGTGCGGTTCTGGTGGCCGCGGTAGTCTGCGCCATTCACCTGGAAGCACTCTGACAGGCCTGCACGGCGACGGCGGGGCCTGGGAGGTCCTGACCCTTGCCGGGCATCCTCACCCCACACTCCGATGCCAACTCCCACCCGGCTCCCCAGCCAGCGCCCCCGGCGCCCACGGGGCCCTCGGGCTGCTCAGCTGCTGCCACCACCTGCTCTGCCCCCTCGCCAGTGGGACTCGGGTTCTAGGCGCGGAGGCCGAGGAGGGAATGGTGACCTCGGCCCAGTCGCCGGGCCGCGACTCACCTGGGCTATGCAGGCTCCCAGCTGAGGTCCCGCGTGGCAGCAGCAGCCGGAGCAAGAGGAGGAGGAGGCCCTGCGGGGCCCGTGTCCCCATCGCCCCCAACCAAGAAGAGGTCGCCCCTGGGGTCGCTCCGGGGTCTCCCAGGAGGCCTGGGGGGCGTTGTCCTCTGACAGTCTGTCCTCGTCCCCGCTCTGCGAGGCGCTCTCTATCTGGGGCGGGGGGTGGCGGTAATATCTCCCAGGGGTATTTGCCTCCTAGGGTTTCTGGCCCTGAAGGCGTCTCTCTGCCTCGGCCCCTACTGGGAGTCTCCCCGGGGGGACGATCTCTGGCCAGGGATGTTCTCCGTCTCTGCCTCTCCGGGCTCGGGGTCCTGCCTCGGCTTCCACACCCGCCCCCTCCCTCTGCCTCTTGCTTTCTGAGTCTCCCTCGCCCAGGTCTCCGACGCGCTGTCTCCTGCCCCCCTGATGTCCCTCCCCACGGGTCCCTCCCCCCCCCACCAACCGAGGCAGGGAAGCCCCGCCCGAGACTGGAGCGAAGGCAGCAGGTCCAGACGCCTCCCACGCCCGCCCCCCATCTCCGGGACCCTCTGTGTCCCGGAGCGCGCCTCCCCTCCCTTCCTCCTCTCAGGGTCGGTGAAGGTTCCTGCGGGAGCGTGTGGAGGAGGCCCGGCCAGGCTGGTAGACAGAACGACCCTAATGGGGGAGACACAGGACCCTCTCCTGAGGCCACACGTCCCCGGGGCACCCGGAGTCCCCAGCTCACAGACACCCTTGAATGAAGTGCAGGCACGCTCTCCCACTAAGTCACCCATTCATTGTGAGATGCTCACACGCACACCCTCTTTCGGATCTTCACGCCTCTCCCTTCCCAGGTCCCGACGCCTCTGGCCTGAGGAAGCGCCACTCCCTGCCCCCGCACCCGCCCCACGGGCTGGAATGGTGGCCGCTCAGTCTGGGACAGGCAGGGGCAGCTGGTGTCTGGGGAGGAAGGCAGCTGCGCCCCTGGTCCCAGCCTGTCCCCTCCTCTCCTCCTCCTCTCCCTAGGACCCCCAGCCCAGGCTCGCCGGAGCCCTCGCAGCGCGGTGGAATTCCCCCAGCGGTGCCCCCCCCACCTGGCGGGGAAGCGGGAGGGGGAGCAGGCCCAGGCAGGCGTGGGGGGAAATTCCCCGCCCCCTCCCCCTGGGCCCGAATCCTCCGAGTCCTCTGATCTCCCAGCAGCGCCCGCCTGCTGCCCCCAGGGCTTGGGGAGAGGCCAGCGCAGGTGCGTGGGAGGGCGGGGGCGGGGACCGGGAAGGAGATGGGTGGTGGCCTGGGGCCCAGAGCGGCCCGCCCGGCCCCGATATCTTGCCTTCCAGTCCAGCCTGCCCACCCCTCACCAGTCCCCCACCAGGCTGTCCAGCCTGCAAGGACCTGTCTCCACTCTGTCAGTACCCGCCGTACTCCTCCCCCACCCCAGATCGGGGGCGCAGAGAAGATTCTAGGAAAGCCACAGTGCTGGTGGTGGTGACTGGACCCGCGAAGACCTCGCTTCGAATGAGCCTGTGCCTCATACACAGGCTGGGGGGAGGTGTGTGTGTGTGTGGGGGGGCGTTATCCCAACGCAGTTGGCTGGCTGAGACTGGAGGCCAGTGCCCAGGTTGCCTCTTGGGGGGACCCTCTCAGCTGCCACGCTGGCCCGGGATCACCTCCCAGTTTCCTGGCCCTGCTGAGCAATGGACTGGGAGTCTCACCAGCGCAGGCTAGCCCAACGCAGGGAACCCATCTAAGGAGGGAGTAGTAAAACCCATGGACCTGGCCCTCTTCTCCCTTCTGCTTGTGAGCTTGGGGGCTGCTGTGGCTCCATGGCATTGTCCTAGGCTCTGGCCCAGGGAGAGCATCCTGGGGCAGCAGGCCTGGATGATGGGGGTGCATGGGGATCCTTGCTCCCAGAAGTCATCTGAGAAAAGGACGGGGTGGGGGACAAAGACGACCAGGACCCCTCGTGCAGAAGGAAGGTCAATGGTGGAGTGGAGGAAGAACTGACCCCTTTTCTGGCAGGAGGGATGACTAAAAAGGGCTGTCCATCTGGTCCACTGTACTTTGGACCCCCACTGCCAGGCTGATCTCCTGCAAAAGGGGTATTGGATGAAAAGAAGGGGGTGCTCAGTTCCAGGACTCAGGCACCAAGATGAGAGGCAGTATCCCCACTGCAAGCTCCAGTCCCAGGTGGCTCAAAGAACCTTGAACTAGGGAAGGCCTGGGCTCTCGCCCCCACCACTTCCGGGGAGTTCAGAAAGGCTGCCTGCCGAGGGACCCATGGTCTCAGTCAGGACCTCCCCCTGGTCTCCCCGCAGCAATGGTACCACTGTCGTGGGAGGGCTGGGTCCCTACTGCCTGGCCCCTACCTGCCTCCTGCCTGTTTACTGACCCTGGCTCCTCCAGCTCCTGCACAAACAGCTGAACTTCATTTCCCTGCTTCCCTTGCATTAGGTATAGCCACAGGAGTGAGTTCTGGCTATGAGGCATAGGCAGGAGTGATGCCTCTCACTCCTCAATTCTCAAAGCAAGGGCCCAGATCAACAGCATTGACATCACCAGGGAGCTTGTTAGAAATGCAGATTCTCATACCCCACTCTGTGCCTCCTTCATCAGAGCCTGCATTAACAAGATCCCCAGGTGTTAAAGTTTGAAAAGCACTGATGTAGACCCCTGCCAGGTCTGGTCTACAATAGCCTCAGTTTCTATCTCCTTCATTCACCAACTAGATGGAGGGGATACCTAGGGCCTAGGGGAGGGTGGAAGGAGCCAGATTCCCTAGCGAACTTGTAGAAGGAGCCCACCAACTAGAGGTATCAGCGTGGGATTCTGCATGAGTGGAGAAATAAATATCTATGTGTTAAGCCACTGAGATCAGGGGCTTGCTTGTTACAGCAGCTGGCACAACTTACCTGGACTAATACATTCCCCCCACCCTCATACAGTTCTTGTCTCCAAGGCTGGTTCCTCTGAGAGCTGGGAGGGAGAATGTTCCATGCCTCTCATTTAGCTTCTGGTGCCTTGTTGGCCGTCACTGGCATTCCCTGGCTCATAGAAGCCACTAATCACCCGTCTCTGCCTTCACCTCCGCATGGCATTCTCCCTGTGTGAATGTCTGTGTCTGAATTTCCCCTTTTTATACAGACACCAGTCATGTTGGATTAGGGGCCCAACCCACTGCAGTAGGATCCCGTCTAAACTAATCACATCTGCAACGACCTATTTCCAAATAAGGTCACATTCTGAGGTACTAGGGGTTAGAATTTCAACATGTGAATTCTGGGGGGACACAATTCGACTCATAACATCTTATTTCTTGTCACTTTTCCATCCTTGCTGCTACTTCTCTAGTCTGAGCCACCACCATCTCCTACTTGGACTAATAGCTCTCTCAACTGAGGTCCAACTTCCCATGGTTACCCTGAACAGCCCTTCCAGCAGCCAGAGTCTTGTTTTAATGGGAGAAGGCTGAGGGGCTGTTCTAGTGCCCTCGGAGCCCTCAGGGGAACAGTAGGGTGGGCAGCCAGGAGAGGCTGGGCTCTGCAGAGCTGTGATGAGGATGCAGCCTGAGGCTGGCAGCCGCCCTGCCCTTTGTCTCCAGAGACTCCCTTGGGTACCTCTGGCTTCTGGTCCTTGAACCAGGTAATCATACCTGATATGGACACCTGGGAGAGAACACCTGGGGCAGGTGTTGTATGCTGGGGTTGCATTTTAGAAAAGCCCTTGGCTATCATGGGGACAGATTGCAGAGGGGACACTGGATGCTGCAGTGTCACAAAGGTGAAGGGTTGGGGCTCTAGGTGACTCAGGGGCCTAGGGATGGGGATGTTTATTTTTCTATTTTTTTTTTTTTTTTTTGCGGTCCGCGGGCTTCTCACTGTTGTGGCCTCTCCCGTTGTGGAGCACAGGCTCCGGACGCGCAGGCTCAGTGGCCATGGCTCACCGACCTAGCCGCTCCACGGCATGTGGGATCTTCCCATACCGGGGCACGAACCCGTGTCCCCTGCATCAGCAGGCGGACTCTCAACCACTGCGCCACCAGGGAAGCCCGGGGATGTTTATTAATACAAGGATTGACTAACAGTCTTCTCTACCATTTGTGTGCCTTACTAGTGCTATGGACTGAATGTTTGTGTCCCCCCCAAATTTACATGTTGAAACCCTAATCCCAATGTGATAACATGAAGAGGTGGGACCTTTGGGAGGTGTTCCGGTCAGGGTGGAACCCTCATGATGTGTTAGTGCCTTATACGAAGAGGCCAGAAAGTTAGCTAGGCCTACCCCCCTTCCGCTCCCCATGTGAGGACACAGTAAGAAGGTGGCCAACTGTAAACCAGGAAGAGAGCTCTCACCAAAACTCAACCATGCCCGCACCCTGACCTCACAATTCCAGCCTCCAGAACTGTGAGAAATAAATGTCTGTTGTTTAAGATCCCCGCTCTGGGGCCTATGGTATATTATGGCAACCTGAGTGGACTAAGACACCTGGATTCCCCAAATTCTCCCAGCACCAGAGGAAGGAACCCCATCAGCCTTAGCACACAGGGAAAGAAACCGCAGAGGCAGTGACTTCTAATGGGTCTGAGGTTTCTTTTCGGGGTGATGAAATGTTCTGGAATTAGATAGAGGTGACGAAGGCCCTACTCTGAATGTACTAACAGTCATTGAATCATACACTTGAGTCGGTGAACTCTATGGTGTGTGGATTGTATCTCAATAAAGCTGTTACTAAAGAAAGAAGGAACTAGGCAGGGTGGCACTGGTGGCACTGAAAGCTGACGGGACCTAGGGACAGGCAGGGCGGTGTTAAGGACGGCTCTGGGTTTCTACTTATGCGGTGGAGCTGTCAGAGGAGGTGGATGATGAGGACACTCCCCTTCTCCACCTTTGCTGCTGGTGACCATGGGATATCCAGAGTCAAGGTCCTGGGGGCAGCTGAACACACAGGTTTGGTTGCAGAAGGGAGGGCAGAGCTGGGGCTGCAGATTGACAAACTGTGAACCCTGAAAATGGCTGGGCAGAAAAGGGCTGAGGTCCAGTCCCCAGAACACCAACCACCTTGCTTATCGGTTGGGTGGG